GGGCCTTAAAATGTTTTTGTGGTGTGTCTTGCTCAAACTCGGTATATGGGGGTTATTTAAGACGCTGATGACGAATATGGTAGTCATTTCGCGTGGCAGCGGGTAAAAATCATGAACCTGCCTGAAACCTTGGCAGGGAATTACCTAAAGTGCTGTTTCAAGAATATCGTGCTCAATCCCCATGATAATGACAATTCGTGTAATATAAAAGTCCACGGTTTTAATTCTTTCTTTATAGGACCACTGCCGCGCGCGATACACTCTTCGGCGGCTTTTGCCTAAGCAAAAACAGGGGGAGGGAGATTTGCCGCGTGCATTACACGTTGGGACAGGTTATCAGGTTGGCGCTGGAGACCGCCAAACGACCGTTTACCCAATTCGTGAATATCTGGGATCTAATCTGGCGCGGAAGCAAAAAATGTCCATTCAAACCCTGCGACTCACCATAACTTCACTAATACGTTATGACAGCGAGCAAGCATCATATTCATAAGCAGTATACTTGTAAACCGTTACAGGTATAGTCGTCCTCACCCCACTAGTCGGTCGGTGGACGAATTTAAATTCGAACTGGGGCAGGCCGGCCGCGGCAGAGCGCGGCAGACCGCCTCTCAGCCAACCGCTGCACATGAGTTTTCCTCTTATTTTCTACGCATTTCTTTGCTATCTCTCGTATTGTGGCAATGTTTTTAATCAGATTTCGTTCGCTAACTCTTTGAAAACGCTTTTTGAGAGAATTTCAGCCCCATCGCAAAAAAAGTTTAGATTACACATTCTGACGAAAAACTTGACACAGTTCATCAAATCATATTTGTGTGTATGTCACTTACCGGTAGAGAGATTTCTCATCCAAAAATCTCCGATCGCATCCTTCTTCCCGGTTTACCTGGAAGAAATCTAAAACAAACGGTCACAACTGCACAAAACAACAGTTAGCGGTACGAAGTCCAAAAATCTGATTAAGAACATTGCCGCAATACGAGAGATAGCAAAGAAATGCGAAGAAAATAAGAGGAAAACTCATGTGCAAGCTGTTGGCTGAGGAGCGGTCTGCCGCGCTCTGCCGAGGCAGGCCTGCTCCAGTTCGAATTCAAGTTCGACCACCAACCGACTAGTGGGGTGAGGACGACTATAAGGTTTTGAGCAAATCTGGAACTTTGACCCATCTACACCCAACGTAACCCAAGAAAATGCACTATCCTGCGAAAACAGCATGATATTCATGTTCAGCCCACTAAATGACCACCTTAGAGCAAGGTTAGAGCAAATGTATGTTTTCGACCCCATCCCGTATAACCACCATAACTCTACGAAAAGGCCCCAATATGCAGAGAGAGAGTATGAATTTCGTAATTTTTCCTACCGTACACCTACCGTAACCACAGGGGAGACGTTCTGCGGAGAAAGTGTGCTATATGTTTTCAGCACGTAAGATAACCCTTATACACGAAGTTTGAGCAAGCTCTACGACAAAAAAATTTTGGGGCCCGGGTAGCCGATTAGCGCCAAACTAATATCGTGTTCGTAATCAGTATGCTCGATTACCCTTTTGTGCCAAATCCCAGCCCCATAGCTCAAACTTTGCAAAAAAATAGATAAAATCGATAGAAGTAATGGGAGATTTCAAAAACTAATATTGTATTCGTAATCAGTATGTTCGATTATCCCCCTGTGCCAAATCCCAGCCCCATAGCTCAAACTTTGCAAAAAAATAGATAAAATCGATAGAAGTAATGGGAGATTTCAAAAACTAATATTGTATTCGTAATCAGTATGTTCGATTACCCCCCTGTGCCAACTCCCAGCCCCGTAGGTGAACTCTGCAAAAAATCCGATAAAAATCGATAAAATCGATATCGATCGATGACAAAAAGTAGCCTATGACACTGGCCCCTCCCCGATGTGTATGCATGCAAAGTTTGGTCCGAATCGGTTCGGAAATAAAAATTTCTATTCGGAACATACGTACATACGTACATACAGACATACAGACATATAGGCTGTTGCATGACGAAGGCACAATATCTTCGGGTGCGTACGCGGCTTTTTTAGCCGCAGAGCGCATGAGACGCAGGATCTGAACGATGAAGTTACGCGCGCGTCGCATTCGCGCCCGCTCAGCTGGGACCGCTTCTGCGCCTTCGTCATGCAGTAGCCTTTACATACATACAAACAGACATTCAACTTTATGTATAAGATTCTTATTTATATTAGGTTGTCTCATAAGTCTTTTCATTTTTGAGTTTTCGCTGTAATAAGTTTCACTTCCTATTCTTAGACAGCAGGATTCCATTCGATAGAGCAAAGCAAGCTCTATAAGATGGCGTTTATGCTTCTGCACCAGCTTTGATCCACCTTAGGTTTGAATCCAAAATCTGAAAAGTTTCAGATGCCCAGAAAATCGAAAATTTATTATATCTTCGCTCGAAAAGGTTTCACAGATCTCTCACTCGCTCACGCAAATACATTCCAAATCAGACATTCATATGTGCTGTTGCTGCATTTTTTCATCAGCTAGAAATCAAAAAACCGAAAATTTTTATGTTTTTGAAAAAGTAACGCTATGCTGTTCTCGCAACAACAGTTGTATGCTAGAAACCCTTAGAAGTACTAACGTAGATTTTCTGCTCTCTATAAGCTCTGGTTCACGAGAAATATCGAATTTAGCTTTCCTCACTCTGGTCTTATACGCTTAACTCAACATTTCTCGGAAATCAGAGCCTTAAAAGAGCTAAAAATTTGCGGTTGCACATGTATGGTGTAGTATACAACTGTCAGTGCAAGAACAGCACAGCATCACTTTGGTAAAAACATGAAAATTTTCTGTTTTTTGATTTCTAGCTGATGAAAAAATGCAGCAACAGCACATATGAATGTCTGAATTGGAATGTGTTTGCGTAAGCGAGTGAGAGATCTGTAAGACTTTTTTTGAACAAATATATAAAAAAAATTTCAATTTTTTGGGCATCTGAAACATTATATATTTTAGTTTAGAACTTGAGGTGTACCGAAGCCTGTGCAAAAAGCATAAACGCCATCTTATACAGCTTGCTTTGCTCTATCGAATGGTATCCTGTTGTCTATTTAGAATAAGAAGTGTCTGACTTATTACAGCGAAAACTCAAAAATGAAAAGACTTATGTGACAACCTAATATGTCGAAACTATATTCTTTTAGAGATAAATAATTCCATTACTGTCATAGATTTAATATAATAAATGTATAGAATCATGTCTGACACACATCTATATCCAAAAAATTTACTTCTTACTTACACAATTTTTGGAACCTTACTTTTCAAAAAATTCATGTACATACTTTTACCGCTGAACAAATTTACTTCTTAATGAAAATAAGTTTTACATGCCTCCCTTCCTTATTGAGGAGTTTCGGGGAAGGGCTGTAAATACTTATACTCCGTCTGAGGGCAAGAACAAAACGGAGTCTTTTGGACACATTTGAATTGAAAACCTTTTCTTCTTATTATGAAAGGCATTCACAAAATTCAGCCACCCACTGGTAGCCCCTTCCCCCCTTCACCCTGACGATGTGTATGAAAGATTGGTAAATTGGCTCAGATGGAATTTTCTATGAGGAACATACGTATAGACAGATGCGCAGACACACACACAGCCTTGCAAACGTTTAGTTTGGCTCAGAGCTGACACAAATAGCTCGTGATTTTACCAAATCGCGGTGAATTAGGAATCAGGATTCGGAACGAAGGTGGCAAATGAGCACCCGTTAAACGAATTGGGCTTGCCAACCTTTCACTTTTACGATTTACCACGGCGCCAGTTGCGTGATTCAATTAGAGCGCGCTTTCATTCAACTCAAACTCAGTGTTGTGTCCTGGACTTCGGACACTTCGACTCTTCGTAGGGCACTCTAGGGCACAGAAGGAAGCAAATAAATTTATTAGAGAAATAATAGAGAACAATAAGTATGAGGCGAATGATGAGAAGTGAACTGAACTGTAGAACTGACTGAGGCTATGAGTGAGCGCCTTTTATAGCGCTCATTTTTCGCGCACTCCGAGGCTAAGATCGAATGCGCGAGGGCAGGTCATTACGAGGAAAACAGCTGATCTTTGAAAATCACTAACATAACACTCAGGAAAGCCCGGCGTCACTGCTGTTTGGCATCCTAACAAAAAGGAAAAGAGGGGGAAACCAAAATGTTACTATTGATGCTTGAGTGCAGAACACATTCATGTAAAATTAAAAAAAACAATGTGTACCAAACGAAACCCTGTTGGGGAAAAGTTGGGCAGACTCTTCATTCACACAAGTTTTTCATACAATGCCATACTCTGTGTCTTTTCTCCACTATTCATATACACCGTCTTAAAGCCATCTTGTTACCTGTGCATTGCAGCGAGTCTTTTTTCGCTTTTTAGTAACAAGGAATTTTCATAAAGAAAGCTTGTCGCAACCTTCAGCTCTACGGTACATCCACAGCACTATGCACTATTTTGGTCCTGGCCCTTGTCCGTTTGTGCGCAGATCCTGGTCATGTCGTTATGACGCGCTGTAAACGAGACAGTTAGTCACTACTTAATGGAAAGAACTTTGAACGAAGGTAGCGCACTGACAAATTCGTGGTTTTGCACTTCAGTGGTATAGCAACTTGCTGAAGTGCATATGTACATATAATCGTGTATTATTTACGATATTTCCTTTTCTTCTTTTCTGAAATCGACAATTGCCACCCTCGTGCCGCGCCCTGGCGTTAACTATCGGTAATATTCAAAAGTTGCACTATTATACGCACTGCAAACGCATAGTTTATGTAGCTTCTTTGGCAATCAAATATAAAGGGCTCGCTTGCGCTAGCTGGGCTTGCAAGGATCTGAAATATCGTCGCAGTGTAAATCCGCCCTCGAACCGAAGCGAGTCCCAAAGCATCAACAAAAAAAAATCCATTTCTTATGAGGCGATCGCTACTATCATCTTTCAATAGTTTTTCTATCACAGGCCTAACACCAAGGGATATTTCAGCGACACGTCATGCGGCACAAACTCTCACTCCTTAAGGAGAAATCATGCCCCAGAAACCGGCGTTGAATTGGTTGAAAGGAACTCAAATAGTAGACGTCCTTCCTCGTCTGAGGAGACCACTCAACACCACGAAACAGAATTCGCATCTCCGTAAGTGGACCTGCCAGACGTTACTTACCTTGCAAATGTCACAAATCTTAATGTGTGTTTGCAGAGGACAAAGCTTAATGGATGAAAGCGAAGATTCAAATCATGGGGATGAACAGAGGTTGTTGAATTTTCTCAACGACTCTGTGAAAAAGACTGATTTAAGTTCAACTTCGCATCAACCGACCCGCGATCAGGAGCAGAAAACTCAACATACAGCCGAAGGCTTGTCACCTTCTTCAAGCGGAAAATCTTTCCCAATATCGTAAGGATTAGAGTTGAGACTAATTATTGAGTCGGTCCGAAAGCGTGTAGTTTTTAGACCTATCCTGAAACCACTCAGGATGATAATAGACAATGCCCTAGACAGTGTTCGATGCAGATTTTTTTTCTTTTCTTAACAGCGGTTTTTGCCAGTTTTTTGGTAATGGTCGATCAATCGTCAGACTCCAACTCATGGTTTCTACCTGTCTTAATTTTACCAATTTTTCATAATTTCCATTTCAGACTAACAAAAGTGCTTTGACAAGTCGCATAGGGAAAAGAAAATATAACACAATACATTTCATTTGGCATCCACAGCTAGGCTTTCAAAATTTTTCTCCATTTTTTTCATCGAAAATCATTTTTCCGACCCTACCAGTTTTCATATTTGGGCATACCATACCCCACAGAACATCAAATGGCTACCAGTTCGGGTGTCATACGATGCATCTTTCTCTCCTCCATCTATCTATCCTCTAGGTGTTTTCGTCCTAAATTGTGATTTCTTCGCAGACAAAATCAACAGATTCATGATCTGGAACTCGTCTCAAGCTGTACCCAGAAAAATCAGAAGCTGCTATTTCAAAACGGTAAATACTCAGTTACCAAGCAAATTTAGGGTTTAGTCATAATCGACTACCTGGCTTCGCCGGGCCCGTCAAAACATTGTGATAAAGGTTTCATTCCCATCCCTGTACAACCCTTCCCTGTGCCCACTACCACATGCAATTCCCTATTCCCGCTTTGTTTACGTAATCTGCATGCTCATCTCCCAACTCCGTGGTTCAAACTTTGCATAAAATTGCTAAAATTGATAGAAATAATCGATAGATTTGTGAAATAATATTGTATTCGTAATCAGCGCGTCCACATACACCATATGCCAGATCTAAGCCCCATAGCTCGAACTTTGCAAAAAATCAATAAAATCGATGTAAGTATTAAACAATTTAAACTAATATTGTGTACGTAATCAGCATGCTCACACCTCTCCCTGTCCCAATCCTCAGCCTGTAGCTCAAACTTCGCTTGGTAAAAGTGATCGATAATTTTGAAAATAATATTGTATTCGTAATCAGCATGCCCACTTACCTCACTATGCCAAATCTTAGACTCGCAAGTCAAACTTCACAAAAAATCTATGAAAATCGATAAAATCGATTGCGATCGAAAACGAAATGTAACCTACGACATCCGCCCCCTCTCCCCCGGAGTGTGTGCCGAGTTTGTTCCCGATCGGTTCAAAAATAAAAATTTCTCGAGCATACGTACATCAATACCTATATAATATTTGGATAAGCACTTTTCTATGACCGATCTGAAATGTTAGAAAATTATCGGAATTCAAATGAAACTTTGCACACATAGACTTCGGAGTGGGGCGGATGTCACTAAGCTTTTTCACCGAAAATCATCGAGTTGCGATTTATCGATTTATCGATTTTTTGCTTTTTTTGCTTAGCGATTTTGTTTTGGTAAAATGTTAGGAAAAATAAAGGAATTTGGGCAGAACTTTGCACACATAAATTTCAACTTGGGACGAGCGTCAGTAAGCTTTTTCAACGTAGTAGGATCTATCGATTTATTGATTTTTTTTTCGTATTTTAGCTCTGTAGATCTAAATAACTGGATAGAAGCGATAGCTAAGCATGGTTAATTCAAATAAAATATCTTCAACTTCAATCTACAACTTTTTCACATTGTTTGATTTTTTGTGCGTCATTTTCTGGAGGCTAGCTGATATCTAACTATGCCAGTGACCGCCAAATCAATAACAGTCAATCAATGCTTATATAATATTCGATTTGGCCCCTTTCTTATGTTCGTGCAAAATAGATAGAAAAATGGGATCATGGGATTTAGACCAAGTCTTGCAGACGTAATGCATGGGGTGCGCCGTTTTAAGCCATTTTGTTCGGTACACACGGTCTGTTGCTATCGATCTATGGATTTTTGCACTTTTCTCCTGGAAACTTTTTATCTTTGCTTGAAAACGATAGAAGGAGTCATGGAATCTAAACCAAATTTGGCAGGCACAACCCATGGGATGGGATGTATGTTAATGAGCCGTTTTGTTCAACTGTACTGATTGACCCTATCAATCATTGATTTTTCGCAGTTCGCGTAATATCCTTTACTGAGGATGTTGATTCGAAATAAATTAACGAATTCGCGAAACTTTGCGACATTCCCAGAATCTCGCAGAATTCTCGGAATTTCGCGACATTCCCGAAAATTTTGCACATTCTGTGAGTGGTATTGTATAACATACAAACAGATATTTAGCTTCATATATAGGACAGCTGGCAAACTCGGCTCCGCCCAGCCCTGTCAGTACTATTTGCATAATCAGCATGTTCACTTTTACCCTCCCCCCCCCCCCCTTGTGCCAATTTCCAGCCTCGTAGCTCAGACTTCGCAAAAATTCGATAAAACCGATATCGATCAATAACTAAAAGTAGCCTACGACACCCGCCTCGCCCCGAAGTGTATGTGTGCAAAGTTTGGTCCGGATCGTTTTAGAAATAAAAACCTCTATTCGGAACACATACGTACAGACAGACAGGCATAGACATAAGATCTATCCTTCAGTAACTCCACACCAGCGCCCGGTACGAGCTGAAACCAAGGAATCTTCAAAACAAATATCCCCTTGATATACGAATTTTAGAAGTTTTCTTGACATTTTCAATCCGCCCTTACTACTCTCTACTTGTTTCTACTGTATATAAGCTGGCGCGACCCAGAATGAACGGCATAAGAAAAAAAAATCAAAAAACCCTTTACCTCCTTCTCCCCTTCAACCCTTATTACCTCTCGCTATCTCTTCCTACCCCTCCAACTTGCCTTCTCCCCTCCCCTCTCCCCCTGCAAACGAGATAGAAGGAAGCCATAGCACATCAACAAGGGAATAAAAGAAAGAGAAATCCAAAACAAGAGTGATGTACACCAAGCACTCGGTGAAAATGAAGGATTCGTGCATCGGTTTGTATGAGTTTTTGTATGAGTTCGCTCTTTGCGATAGAAGCAGATTACGCCACCAAGAAAGACTTTCGTTGCAATTCGTGGGTATAAATATGAAACGGTTTTTTGCTTGTATGATAACCTTGAGAGTGTACATACCACTTATGTAGAAAAGTATGAATAATGTGAGAGAAAGGTCGGTTTCAGCTCTGCTGGCACCCAGCCGAAACCGTTCCAGCTAAGTCAGAAAAAAAGTTCAGCACATTTTTCATCCACATAAGCTTTCATAAATTTTTGGGCCATACTTCGAGCCCCCTTACGCGCACGTTTACACCACTTTTGTGGCATACCATTGCCTTTTGATTGCAAACAAGGCTTTTATTTATTGCAGCATGATTTTGAATTTCCTGCGTTGCGCGAGATCGTGTTAGAACATGTAAGTATTGGCCGGTGTCATGATTTGTTCAAACCAGTGAGGATGTCTAGGTGGACAATTTTGACGTACTGTTCAATTCCAATGTTCCATGCGATTTATTCTGGAACTCACTTCAGATGCCGCGCAACGATATTCTCCTTTTTCCCCCAAAACGTTCTAGCTTGACCCGCTTGCAGCTATGCCACGCCTTTGTATCTGCAAGGAAATTGGCTCATTTGCAATCATGAGCATCTTTGCTTAAAAGCTACTTGTTTTGTAGAGCATGCTTCCAAATTCTCTGTCTTATGCTACTTGGTAGTTTGAGGTGATGTTCCTTTCAATACAAGCTTCTCAATCAATTTCGGGGTTTTAGGTTAAGTCACGGTACACACGCGTACATCAAGCCTATTTTAGGGCTGAGTCATGCGGTGCAGCAGATATTCAATCGCACAGTATTTCCCATGTTTAGGAAGCTTCCAAACTGCGCCAGTCATAGCTTTTGCAGCCGGTTGCCGCTTTGCAGCCAAAGCGTCGTCGATTGAGCTATTGTCCTTGATTCGAGTGCGGAGCGCAAACCGATTTATTCCTTTTTTTCACTAATTTCATATAACCTAGCCTTGTTTTTTATCTGTGCAGGTTGGTGTTAAGGTGCGAATCTATGGAAAGGTGTGGACCTAAGAATTGACGAATTTCCTTCGATGGCAGATGCGTGGAGTATCGCCTTTATCTGGCTGAGAGTATGAAAACAACTTTCCTTTGCTGCTTTTCATTTAATTATGCTCAAGATTCATGTTTCTTGTGAGTCGTTTGGGCTGAAAAAGCTAATTGCGATACTCAAGGGCATCTATGCAAGTTTATAATAATGGATGGTCGTGTCAGCATCAGCTACGAATTCTGAGCCTAGATCAGGGCTCGGCACGAGCTGGCAAAAGGAAATTTTCAAAACGAAGTCCCCGTTGACCTCCGCTAAGTTTTACGAAGTTTCCCTTGACCTCAAATCCTAAACGCAAATAAAAACCTAAAAAACGAAGCGTCGACTAAAAGAGAAAAACGTCGCAATTTTTGTTCTCTTCGGTCAAAACGGTATCCGCTTGCTTTTTGTCTCAAAAACGCTATCCAGCTTGCCCCGTGCCAGCTGGTGTCAGGCCCTGGCCTAGATAATATTAGGTTGTTGCAAAAATAACGTCCGTTTTGCAAAGTGTTACTTTGAAAGGGTATAACTTTGCCCAATGTTCATAATTTTTGATGCAATCAAGACCATCAGAAGCAGTAAACCCTTCGTGATCTAACGCATACCTGTCCATATTGATATCACAAAGGGAAGAAGACCATGTGTCAAAAAACCAAGAGTTTTTCTTTGAAAACCTCGTCTTTGAGAGTCACTCCTCGCAAGCCAGTAGTATATTGTATAGAAAATACCTCAACAAAGGAGTTCTGCAAGAAGAAAAGGTAGAAAACCCAAATTTGTCCACATTTTTTGAGCCTGTATTTGGTAAACCATAAAATTTCCAAACTAAGGAAATTAGAAGTTCTTCACACAGAAGCTACTAAATTTTTCTTCAAAAATTGTATACAAGATGTCCTGACCTTAAGCATACAGAAATGAGCAAAGCTTTGGCTAT